CACAAACAACAAAAACAACAAACAACATCCATAAACAACAGCAACAACCACCACCACAACAATAACAGCAGCAGCAACATAAACAAACACAACGACAACGACAGTAGCAACACATTATTGTTGTTTTGTGAACTCTATCCTACATTAGAAAAGTTATTTGCCAGCAAATGCCTGGTTACATCGGTGACGTTACCATTTGTAATGATCCCTGTGACGTCATTGTTACATTACTGCTGTCATAACCTTCATTGTTATTGTCATTGTTATATCATAATTCTAATTTTAACAACCATCATCTACCTACAGACAACAGCAATATAATTATTACATTATCAACCATAAACAACAACAGAATTCTCTACAATAAAGAACAACAACAACATAAACATCCACAAACAAACAACGGCATTAACAACGACATAAAACACGAACAACATAGAAGGACATCATCCGCCAACAGCAATATAAACAACGTCATCCACATACAACATCAACATAAGCATTATCATCTACTAACAAACAACAACACAAATAACAACTCAAACAACAAGCAAGCAAACAACAACAAACAACATAAACAACAAGCAAGCAAACAAACCGTTCTGACCAAAGAATTATATCGCTAGGACTATTTCCCGCCTGATCTACCGCATTATTGTTATTATTATTATTATTATAGTAGTAGTAGTAGTAGTAGTAGTAGTAGTAGTAGTAGTAGTAGTAGTAGTAGTAGTAGTAGTAGTAGTAATAGTAGTAGTAGTAGAATTTTTAATGTTATTATTATTATAATTATTAATTGTTGTTATTGATTTGTTAATATTAATAATAATCACAGTTCAGTTTTTTATTCGGGTTGATATTAGATTATATTAGATTGAATTCATCATCATTGGCCTATTGCAGCGTATACAAAACTCCAGGTGCGTGTCCAGATATAAGTACTCGATGGTATGGCGTGATGATCAGTGTGTCGGAGTCAGATATTTTTCAGGCGTATGGTGTTTGTGTGCGAGCGTGCAATCCACACTGTTGTATACGTAATGTGTGTAAACAGTTACTTCTGGAAAATTGTAGCTTTTTTTGGCAAAGTTCAATCTATGGTTCAGTTTTTCCATTTTTCTCACTACAATTATGTTTTCATTGTTTAGTTATTTAAATATAGTATTTTTATCAATATTTAAGTTTGTTTTTAGTTTAAATTCTACGTGCATATTTCTGATATACCGATCTGTGACGTCATATAATGTTAATTAACGGAAGTGAAATAACATTTTCTCGCCTGCTCTCGCCACACATCACGTTTTCGGTTCTTTTCAATTTTAAATTTTCACAAAAAGATATAAAAATTGAATTCCATAAAAAGCGAATTAAATAAAAACTTATTTTATGAAAATTAAATTGAACAAAAATTTAATTTGAAAGTTTGTGGGTGCCTTAAGGAACTTAACGTTGAGGAGAATTTAATCAAAAGGTACATTAAAGGCTTATTGAAAGTGAATTGAAGAAATTAAAAGAAATTAAAGAGAGGATGAAACAAATGCATTTTGTGGAGACCATCACTCTTTCTCGGGTGTTTTCACTCGTGTTCAACAAAAAAATTATGAGAAATAAATATCTCTATTATGTTTATTTGTTTCCGGTGAGTTAAACTAAAATTTTTTCCTAACAAAAAAAAAATTGAAATTTAGGTAGCAGTTCTGTTGATCTTTGCATGCAATTACTTTAAATTAAACTAAAATTATTATTTTGCAATGGTGTGGCAAACCTTAGCAAGAAGGATTAAAATTTTGACAGCAAAATTCTGTTAACTTTTACTCGCAATTACATTTCGCATGCTTTATACTTTATTACCATCGAACTTTCTGTCACTTTAGCTGCCTCTGCATGTCTACATCAGACGAAACTAACCCCACATAGACAGACTCATGTTTTAATTGCACTCGTAGCATGTATCAAATTCTTCGAGACTTAGGTCGATTGTATTATTTTGCACCAAGTCGCTACGCAATTTTCTGTCAAAATAATGAAACAAAAATGTTTTCTCTTATTACGTGGAGTTCAACCGTCGAAAAACACATTCAATATGAATATATTTCCATACTGTTTAACTACCGTTTATTATGAATAAAACCACAATTAAAACGTTGATAATATGATATAGTGAAAATAACAAATTAATGAAAATAACAAAATAGTAATCTTGTTACTACTGCCACATCTTCATCAAAGTAAATGTGATCATCTTCATCTAAGTAAATTTAATCATCTTCATCCAAGTATTCATTCATTGCGTCAGCAGATATTTAAAGTGAAATTTTCACACCGCGCAGCACCTGTTCTGCTGCTTGTCGGATGTCTCACAGGGATGTGACGAGGACCGTCTGAAGTGGATGTTCAATATGTACGACCTCGACAAAACAGGTTCGTTCGTTCGTTCGTTACATACCGTCTGGTCGGCTCCGTTTGTTAAGTTTGGTCGGTGTGATCTAACAAAGTGTGTTAATAAAGAGCATGTTAGCGGCTGCAGCACAATTGTTAAAATACATTGCTGTTGATTGAGATATAGTCTAATTTTACATTTTTTGTAGACTCCTTTACAATTTCAATAAATTACCTTTATGTTTTTTTATGGAACATTCCAACTATTCTTAATGATTCATGTATAAAGCGCCAATTGAATAAAACTTGAATGACATCAAAAGTTCAAAAATTTCAACCGTGAAATTTGTAAAACATTCATGACAGCAATTAGTTTCCAAACGTTTTAACCTCAAAATCCTTGTTGTTAATGACATTGTTGTACATTAAAATTGAAATGTTGAACGACAAACACCAGGCCTGATAACAGAACGAAACGTGGCGTACGTCATCCACTCTGTTTACTTGCTGGCGGGAAAGGTGGCAGACGAGGAGGAATTGAACGCCCATGCTCGTAATGTTTTCAAGGTAGGTACGGTGTTGTCTTGCCCTGAAATTGAAAGGAAACTTATTTCAAAAGCCCAACTTTTTTGTACTTTTAGTCAATCAAGCATTCTGAGGAATCAAATTATTTCAAATTCATTCCAATCTCTTGTTTGTTAAATAAATAGTTAAATAAATCTAAATTCATATTAATTTTTTATTTGTTAATACTTGTTTAAATTTATTTATTCATTCATTCATCTATTTATTCATCCATCCATCCATTTATTCATTTATTTATTTATTAATAATTCACTGAATGAAAGAAATAAGAGATCACAAGGCTGATCAATTTATGAGCGAGGATTAATGTGGGCAGCTTGCAATGAAAGTACGAAAAAAAGCTGTCATTTCAGGAAATCTGTACATTCATAAAACATTGTGCACGTGTGTGCTTGTAAGTATTATATATGCGCTCATGTATTATACATGCATCGCATAAATATTGTATATGTACATGTAAGTATTGTATATGCACAATACACAATACATACATACATGTACATAATTGTATATGTATCTGTATGTATTGTGTATGTGCTTGTGCTAGGTGCTATGTATGCAGTGCACATTTTAATACGTAGTAGTATGAATACTTCGATATAACCCTATATAAAGAATTGTATGTATGCACTTCTGTGTTATGAAAGTAGTACATCCCAAAGATATTCTGTGTGCGTAAGTATCATGTATGTAAAGATGCACCTAAGTACTTAAGGTTCTATGTACAATTGTAGTACTAGTAAAAAAATAATTTTATTTCGAATAGTTTTTACCGAAAAATTACTTTTTATACAATTTCAAATGTTATTAAGTATTTATTGAACATCGAATTTTCATTCCGCAAATTATATTTATTTGAATGTTGCATCCTATTAAAATTATTTTTGAACATTCACAATGGGTGAAATAACCATGGAGATATATTACATCAGATTCTTATATTAAACGAAAAAGTTTTATTAATGATCAAATTATAGTGATTTGCTTGCTGTGATGTTTTCCAAATTATTTCACAAGACCACGTAATCACATTCGTTTCTTATAAAATTATTTCAGTTCAGTTTAAATTTGTAACTTTGTTTTTAACAGATTCTTAGAAAAGTTACGAAAAGCCGCAATTTTTCTCCATTTTAAATGATTTAAAGCATTTAGAAAAAAGCTGAAAATATCTTTTCTAACTTTACAATTTGCAAACGTTGGCGATTAGTCGTATAATTTGTTGAAGTTAGGTTGGAAGTAATTTGTCAAGCCCACAATCACAGGTGGGTGGGCTTGTGATGTTGGTTCGCATGGATTCAATTGGAAATAAGATTAAAAAGATCACAGAGGACTGACTGCACGTGAAATTTATTTTGACATGTACAAGTACACACAATTAGGCACGCCTAAACAGCCAGACAAGCACGAACGTAAATATGCACATGTGAATTCTTCATATATAATTTGATTTTTCTGTTTCAATTTTATGTTTTAAATTAATATTTATTCGAGATTATTTTATCAAATAATTATTTTATTTTAAACGAAATTGTTGAAAACTGTGAACACTTAGCGGTTCGGAGGTGATGAGGATAGTCAGAGTTCCATCTCACTCCAATCATTCATCGAGTTCTGCCAACACGTGCGTTTATCGTCTATATTTTTAATCAAATATTGAAATAATTTTTAGTTTTTACAAGTGCTTTAACATGCAACTTTAAAATGAAATAAAAATCTTTTTAATTAAGCTTGAATCATTTTTATCAGATCAATATGAACAACACAACAACAACAAACAGCCACATTTCATCAATACCTACAACACATAACAATCTAATCGCAAGAATCTCATTTACATCCGCTCAACCAGCAAAATCCAAACATTTGAGCAACATAAGTAATGGAACGATAAATTTTGTTTAGCACGAAATATTGCAAAAAATCGCAGAAGTAAAATTGAAATACAAACAACAACACCAACATGAAAACTTGTAGGCAAGCGAGCCAAGAACGGGGTGAGCAGGTAAAACGCTCGCAACGATGAAGGCTGCCTCAACGCTAATAAAAAAACGTTAATAACCAGCTATCAAGAACAGAACATTTTTTATTAGTAAGCAGATTCTCCAACAAATGAAAACTGTCAAATGATGGTTTATGAAATAACATAATAAGACTATTTTTGGCTTAAACTAGAACAAATTTCTTTTGAATGCATTTGTGATGAAATGATTCCACAATATTGAAACAACTTTGTTATAAACGCGTTTTAACAAATGAACAGCAAACCACGACATCCTATCAATGCTCCAAGAATAACATCAAAAGTTACATACATTGTGACATCATACTAGCATTAACAATAGATTACATATTCGTATGAAGGAACGAACAATTCAATAAAATTGGCAAAAATAAATTACAACATGAACTTTTATGACATTCTAAATACATCAAACACATTAAAATACCAACACATCTTTCTATAGCAACAAACACTCCAACCAAATTTTATATAAAAATCAAACCAACGGTTGCAACATTTTAGCAAACTCCATACCGCAGCATTGTTCAAAAAGCAACAACAAAATCTCAAAACCATCTTCAAACAACAGCGCATGAAAGCAACGAAAATTTTTTCACAACATCAAAATAATCACTAACAATCAGACCCTGATTTTTAAAGAAAAATAAAAGAAAACATTATTCTCAAAAACGACAGAACCAACATTCATTAACAACAACGTTATAACAACGTCACTAGCAAAAAAAAACAGAAACAAAAACATTACAACATCATCAACAACAATTTCACAACAGGACGAAGATTTGTTATCATCATTGCTCGCCATGACATCAATAACGTAGATGACATGAGAAATGGAGATGGCATCAACCAGAAACACTACACATCAACAAACACATGGGAAAAATTAAGAGAGGATTAATCCTATACCACATATTTGATTTTATTTCAATTTTCTCATTTAATTTTAACTTTTCCTGGTCATTTTTTTTAAAAACTCGTCAACATTTTCTCTAAAAAATCCTACCCGCCCGAATAAATTTGTATGACTACAACATAGAATATCTCTGATATATAATAAATATTGATAACAACAACAACAACAGCAAATTTAACAATTATAATAATTTTATAATTTTATTTATTATTGTTAATATTAATTCATATAAAGTTTTTATTAGCAGAATTTTTATCGTTGATCAATGAAGAAAATAAGTAATATAGCCATTGAACTTCTATATAAACTGTTTAATAGCAAGAGAGTTATATTTTATTATTACTATCGTCATAATTGTTATAAATAATAACCATAATAATAATATATTAATTATTTTCATTATTTTTTTATTCTGAATAAGAATTATAATAAATAATATTTTTATATAAAACTTTTTTAAATCGCTTGATGTCGGTCGGTCTGATAAGTTTATAATTTATTTTTAAAATTATTTATTTAGCAACATGATTTATTTTTATTTCTTTTTCATTTCTTGGTTGTTAATAGGATTTTAGTTGATATATTTTAGTAGATATAAACTTATGTCTAGTTTTTGAGGTGCATTTCACTGATAATATGTTAAGAAATAAATTATTTTTTGATTTCGAGTAATATATTTTTTTCTTTTTTTCAAAGTTTATTCAAATTATTTTATGACTAAACATTCACAAAAAATGATGTATCAATGATCTATTTCAAAATTCAACTACAAATGTCCTCATCCAACCGATGTTGAAGCTGCCACACACGCTTCATTTTGACATTTTAATTTTCAGACTTTCACACACACACACACACACCACACACACACACACACATCACACACACACACACAAATGCCTATCAACACACACTTATGTCAAATCTATCATGTGAGTGACTGTGATAATAATATGAGTGTATAATGTGTGCAATGATTGTGTTTCGCGTGTTTGTAAGTAAATGTTTTTGTAAATGTCAGAGAGTTTGAAATTGAGCACTAGCTAACCTAGAAATCGGAAAAAGCATCATTTAACCAACACGAATTCGTCAATTCTTGCTAAGCTATGTATACAAGCTTCCATAACGCTCTTCATTGAATTGAAATGAAGTGCTGGATTGAATTTTATTAATTTTTAATTTTTCAACATTTGTTAAATATTTACTGTTGAACAAATGGAGTCACATTGCCAAATTTGTTCAAAATGAGTGTTCAAGTGTTCAGAATTAATCTAGAAATTTATTTAGAAAATTAATACCTTCGTAATCTAAACAAATTTTCACAAACTCATCAAATATTTGAAAAATATTTTTAAACCCTGCAATGCTGTAATATTGTATTTCTTATTCTGAAGTTTTAAAATTTAGCATTCTATTGAATTAACGCACTTTCTGACAATATTTGACTGATCATAAAAGTTGATACTATTTAATTTTCAGTCGCTCAAACTGAGTGTAAGACCCCAGCACGAAGGACATCTCCTGTTTGTCGTGTTTTCATATACGCTGATGAATTGGGGCAGATTCTGTGCGTCCACAAAATTTCAAGTCGTGTTCACGTTAATTTTTTTCAAGTTTTTATTCAAAAACTTATTCTTCGCTGATTATATTGCAATATTCTATTAGAAATTTTATTTGGTTAGTTGAATTTTGTGACAAATTTTTTTAAATCAAAACTATTTCAAGTTGGTTAACATTTTAGTTCTTTTTAATTAGGTTTCCATCAACGAAGTTATAATGTTTTTCGGTCACATAATTTTAGATTCTTAGGTATTTTTTAAATAAAAGTTTTAAATTTAAAAAAAATTACGCTCCATCTATGAAAAAATTAAAGCCATCTCTAAACAAGTATTTAACACCTCCAACATACAAAACAGATTTATTTAATTGTGTTTCAAATTTTTTTACGAAAATTATTTAATGAAAACTATTCTTCACAAATTTTTATTCTTAAAAACATGGCCGGTAATTGTATGCTCCTAATCATTTTTCGAGCAGCTTTTCTTCAGTTGAGCTTTTAAAAAAGTTCAGAAAAAAACGTTTCTGAACAACTACAACTTCATTTGGCTTAATGCGCCTTATTTTTAAAACGTTGAAATGCGTGGAAACAAAAACATTTTTTGACGAAGAAACTATCATTGACGAACCACTTTTCTTCTTGGGGCCCCGGGCAGTACTCACGCCTGACCACCCACAAATCCAGACCTGTGTCCAATATTTCTTTTTCAAAACGTATTTGTTATGAATGTTTCTAGATAAGTTTTGAATAAGTTTTTGTTTAAAAAAATAGATTTCTGTTGTTGTTGAGGTACATGAAGAACATGAAATAGCTTGGCAACAAATGTTGCATGGTGACGGTAGGACGCGTTAAGTTGGGAGTGATGCGTGCTAACGTTTGTTCACCTCTCAATTTCCAGAAATCATTGCTATGGAAACTTTCTGCAGAGCCGTTGTGTTCGTAGGAGGAGTTTGAACAGCCTTCACAACATAGGCTGAAACTTTTATTTGAAGTAGTTGCTCCATATTCTCGAATGTTCCGAGGAGAAAGCGAGGTTCGGAAAAATTCTGATTTCACGCTGCAGTTCGTTTGTTTAGTTGTCTGTTTCTGGAAATTTTGGTCCGACTGTGAAGACCCTTGTTGATGACGATGATAATGATCTTTTTGCAGGTCGAGCTGATAATGATCACGATAAATGAGATTATTAGAATGATAAGGATAACGACGACGACGATGATGATGATGACTAGAAGACGGATGTGATTGGTCCGTTTCTTTCGCACCTTCTTCGCATTTCATTGTTGTACTTAGTCCCACGTGTTGACTTGTGTGAGCTCCATTTGCTGTTGCATCTGTTTTTGAGATTTAAAATCATTTTCATTTGTTTTAAATATATATATTAAAATTAAAACAATCTAATCAGTAATGTTCACAATTATATAAATTAAAATGTAATTCGTCAAACACTCAAATAACTATGCGAAATTAAAATGGGCAAACTATTGTTGGTTGCTTGATTGGATGACTCAGCAGAGATTTTCAGATGACATTTGGTTTTCCGCCTGGGCCTGTACTTGTAACCAGGATGTTCGTTCATGTGCACGATCCTCAGACGTTTTGCTTCATCGATGAATGGTTTCTTGTCCTCCTGCTTCAACTTTTTCCATTCCGCTCCCAATCGTTTCGAAATTTCTGAATTGTGCATCTTCGGGAAGATGAAGGACATCTGGCGACGGCGTTTTCGAGACCAAACCATGAAAGCGTTCATGGGACGTTTGATGTGCTGGTTGGGACTCTGGAGCGTGCTGCTGCTTGCCACGTTGAAACAACCAACGTTCACGTTTCTAGTGTGGTCGCAGCTGTGATTTTCATTGAAAGCATCAACACTTTTGCCGCACGTGGTGCCTTCAAAGTTAAAGTGGGTCATTTATTCAATCTTCCAGTGAATTTAGGTATCTTACAAGTTGTATGAATATCAGTTACTACGAAAACAGTTAAAACAAGAACATATAAAATCTGTATATTATTTGTTAATCTGAATATGAGTTTATTCTAACTGGGTATTTTTTCTCACTGAATATATAAAATTACAAAATGTCAATGGATCTGAACATAACGAAAAATTCAACATGAGAAACTGTTAAATGCAACTACAGAGGTGTCAACAAAACGTTGAAATGAATGAGATGACAGATACTTATCTTTCTTATTTATACAGTCTTCAATGCGTCAAACGACATCACACACACAACACCTAAGCAGAACAATTCAATAGAAAACATTTTTCTATCTCTTACACGGAGACTTTGGGCCGTTATAAATTAATTTCTTTAGATATTTATGTAAGGGTGCTGTAAAAAACATCTTTAGCGCTGGTGTGAAACATCTAAAATAAATAATTGATAATTTATTGTTAAATTTTAAAACGTTTTAGTTTTAACAATTTGTCAGAAAAAAATTATAATATTATAATTATTAATTTATATTATTACTGTATTATATTTATATTTGTATTTATATTATACTGCTTTTGTTCTTTAAAATTTACTTATCCAATTTATGTAGGCTCTTGGAAGTTCGCAATCTATATATCTGCAACTTGTTGTTTGCTTATAATATTTGACTTGAAGTCAATATAAAAGTCTATTTAAAATTCATAGATGCCACACCAAAGTTATTACTGTGGCCATATTGACTACAGTAGTGGATTTAGGCAAGGTGGGCTACCCTCGTTAAAAACATAAAAAAAAAGTTATGTTCAGCCAACATTCAATGTAAAAAAGCAATGTTCTTAATCAAAAAATCTAAAATCTAAAATTTGTGCAATAAGCAAAAATCAAAAAAGGTCACCATCTTTAAAAAAAATTGACCCTCGGGTTAAAGTTTCATTTAATTTTTGTCCCTCACGTCAAGTTTTTATCCAGTTTTGCCCACCTATAAAAGCTGACTGGATCCTGGATCCACCAGTGGTCACACCAGAAATGAACCTAGAATATAAAAGTTTTAATGATATCTAAGCAAAGTTCAAGAGAAGAATGGATTTTTATTTTTGAAAAATTTATTTTTGATAAAGAAACGGAGGTCACTAAATGGAAATCTTAGTTTTTTCACTAAATGAAAAATTTTTAATAACTTTTTTTAGCTGTAAAAATTGAGTCAGTTTTCAAAAATCAACAGTCTATGCTATTTTTACACTGCAAAATCTGAATTATTCAAAAAACAGTTTTGAATAGAGACAGGATTAGTGTACAAAATAGAAATAGGAAAGAAATATAAAATGGGATTAGAAGTAAAAACACGCGCACAACATGACTAACACTGCTTCCTTCTCAACTCAAGGTCCACCAACATTACTAAAGCGACAAAATTGAATAAACAGCATTCGTTTGTTTTCGACTTAGATGCTAGAACCGCAATATAAGAGAAGAAACGTTCAAACAGGTATTTTTCTCGTCATTATCGCAGTTGAAAGGATTCCTAAGAAGATTATTCTTAGTGACTGCCATGCGACGTTCGCAATGTTCTTATATAACTCCTCAGTTCAATACATTCTCTATGAGTATGATTCAAATACATTGCTTCTACCCAAGAAATCACTTTAACTTTTTTTGTTAGATTTGTTGTACTATAAAGTTTAATGTAGTGTTAATTTTTGCACTTCTTTGTCTTATTTCAAGATCTACAAAGTTAATTTAAAAAACAAAATCTAATTTAACGATAGATTTTTAATTGAAGACACATTTTAACTTTTATTCAAGCATAACGAATGGGCAGTATCGCACGCTCAATGTATAGCTTGCGCATTTTATAAATTGTTGGTTTCTCTACAGAAAGCAGAAAACAGATAGGTAGAACGTAATCATACATATGTACAACATATGTACTTATTCGTATATAATTTCATGAATGCGAAAAACACATTTGTTTCTTGTCCATCTGCATGCAGTCTTTTGAAGCATGTAATAGGTTTATGGAATTGTTTCACTCGGCTATTAGATGACTTCAAAGGTTTTCGTATGATTGCCTCGCAGAGCCAACAATGTATGTATGCATGTTTGTATGTATGTAATTATTCTTTCTTTCCTCAAAAGTTACGTTAAATGATTCATGAATCTTCTGACATTACTTATTAAATAACAGAGATAGAGGTTTTTACAATTTTTTATTATAATTTATATATATTTATAAGAAAAAATTTTGTAAAATTTGTGTCACAATAATATTTATTTATAACAGTAGCTGGAGGTGAGGTGAGAAAGTTGTTAAATTTTATTTTATGGACTTTAATTATATTACTTTATTCAATATTTTAGTAAAAAATATCATATATAAATCATATATTCTATATATATGTATTCGATGATTTGTATAGCGCCTCTAAGAAGAACCTTAATTGTTAAAACTTGCTCAACTGGTGGTAAGAGTTTAATAAGTTTCCCGTGGTTTTGTGATAATAATGTGTTTATGTTTTTAACACGTTTTTGTGTCAGTAGGTTGGTGCATATACAAATTGGGGCCACGTAATGAAGTTCACTAATTTTAAAGTTAAAAAAATATATGGTTCCACAAACTGTTTTTGAAAAGTTTCCATGGTGATCTGCACCGACCTTAACTTTTTTGGCAGGCCAGGCATAACTCGTATTATACAGATGAAAAAAAATCAAATTTTAAAAATATGAAAATGTAACTTTTCCATCTTTTCGTCAGCAAAATTTTGTATCAAGCAGGAAAAATTTGAAGTTCTTCAGCACAAACATTTTTTTTCTGGCGATATAGCATCAAAAAAAAGTGGTTTCCTAGTAAAATCGTTTGAAAGATGCGATAGAGGTTCGGAAAAATCCACAAGTCCATTCAACATCGTTTCATTCACCAGTGAAATATTCTACTGGTACTTCCAAACATTTCTCATGATACATTTAATCCGGTGAGTCTATTCATCCTTAATGTTTGTTGAATGTTCCGTAGAATGAAATTGTTCTATATGGCAGGGTCGGACTGGCTTAAAGAGCCAGCCCGGGTAATTTGGTCATGGCCGTCCACACGTCGCACCCTCTTCATCGGTTTAAATATAGGCTCGAAGTTTAAGTCTTCAGCTATTTCTTTAGCATCAACCATTGCTTGTTTAAAGCCAAACATTCTGTAATTTTCAAAACACTTAATACATTTTTAAGCATTTCAGTGCACTGTACCAAATTTTTGTCCTTAGCCTGCATCGCTTTACTAACAATGTTTATTTGAAACGGTCCATTTCACCATGCAATTAAAGAAATTAGAAAACTGGGTTATGCTCACTACCACAACCAACTCAGCTTCAGGGTTAACTTTTGCATTGTAAAGAGCATTTTGAAATCGTCTATTTATAGTAATGTAATCAATCATATTTCTTACTTTGTCTCCGAAACACATCTAAGTATATTTTGCCCTGGGTGATAGTCAAACTAGGTATTAGTAATAATTTGATCATTTGTTACACACCATCCAATCGACTTTTCTCTTCTTTCATTTCTTTCACCTATTCCGTGAGGACCAGCCATGCCCAACATTTGCATTCGGGCCTTTCATCACAATAACAACTTTTTAAGATTTACATGTTTTTAAAGCATCATCAAGATCACTGTAAAAAGCATGAAAGTCTTCTTCACTGCCTTCAGACGTTGGCGCATAAACTTGAATAACAGCTAGGTTGAAAAGTTTGCTTGTATTTTGACCAACAAAACTCTATCTGTCACCGTCTAAACTAAATGTTTAGACAATTTTTTTGATAAATTTTCCTACTTTAAAATTAATGACATCTGATTTCTTTTACCGAGTTTTGCTCAAATCTTTAATGCTGAGTTTTATTCATTTTATTTCTTGTTTTAAGTTTTCAAAATTTTCAATCTGGTACAACGTTCTAACGTTCCATGATGCCACAGTGAAAAATGTATTAAAACATGTCACTATCGTGATGTTTATTGATTTGGTTTGTGTTTGTCGATACTTTTCTTGACAAAGTTGTGAACAATAGGGTGTGTTATGGTGGTAGAACCATTTCGATTGGATATTTGATGCATTCGGTCAGCTATGGTCGCTAACCTTTGTAGCGTCTCGTCGGTTGAGACTGCTAGATGCATTTGTATTGCGGATGGTAGCTGGTCCAACCACAATTGTTTCAAAATGCTTTTGTCTCTATTGTTTGCCCCCCACAGGCTTTGCATGTGCCTCAATAGTTGTGATGGCGTTCTGTCTTCCATGGCCACGCCTCGGTGCAACGTGCGCAAATTTTCTTCGTCTGAGACCGAATATCTCTGCGTTAACACGCGCTTCAGTGAGATGTAAGTTTGTGCCGACACCAATTCCGTCTCCACATCTATGACGACATCCATTGGTAGACTTTCAACCAACGTGGGGTACCATTCATCTTTTTCTGAGAACCTTCGGCCCTTGAGCACATTTTCGAAATATGTAAACCACGCTTTGGGGTTCTCCGTGCTGAATGTGTTTAGTTGGAGTGGGGCTCTCGTCGCTGTTCTCTTTGTTGTGGTTTCGCAAGCCATCACGTCGGGGTCACCAATTTGTTGCGGGTTTCTTTAACCTCCTGTCAACTTTTTCTACTTCTATATTAGATGAGGCATAACAAATAATATTATATAAGATAAATAAAGAAGTCAAACTAATAAATAAAAATGGATAAATCTATATATATGGTATTCTAAGTATATGTATTTTATATGTATTTTATTCTACATAAATGATGTGTATGCAATAAGACAAAAACATTTATTGCTGAAACTCGTTGCTGAAGATTCATTGCGGATGTTTCCCTCGTTAGTTTTGATCAAAATCAACATCATGTGTTAATAAATTTGAATGAAGGTATTTCTATTTAGTTAAAAAAAAGTATTTGCTACTTGGTCATGAAGAGTTTTTCCAAATTGAATGGAGTGTTTCCAGTGTGGAAGCCATCTGGCGTGACGTCTGCTGAGTGCTGCAATGTAATAAAAAGCATTCTTTTAAGAGGTTTCTTATGATTTTTAATTTTACCACCATGTGTTTTAAATTTTTCCTAAATTTTAAATTTTCAATACATTGTTTTGACTTTTGTTCCAACTTACTTGACATGATTTGTATTGTATCTTAGGTATCATTCTAGCTAGCTAGTGTAACTGTAATTTAAGTTAAGGGTAGTAAGTAAAAACAAAAAGTAAAAACTTTTGTTGTCTGTGTAATCATGTAAGTTTAGTAAAGTTAAGATTTAGTTTAGCATTCTTTAGGTTTAATTTCTTTAGTCTTTTTTAAATATTATCAGCCATTATTATTATTATTCATTATTATTATTATTATTCATATGCTTTAAATACAATATTTTAGTATTCTCATCTCACTTTGTTTTATAGTTATAAAAAGGTTAAAATGTTAAAAGTCAATCTCTCTTGGGGCCCTGCTTCAGAGGTTTCAATGACAAACACACACAACCTATTATATAAATGTGAAAACCATGTATCACACACATTGCATATGATAGACATAAATTTCTTTGCATTCAATTCAAACCCAGTCACTGCAACAGCAAGACCAAAGACTTTAAACAATTTCACTATCACCCTGCTCTAGCTAATAGCTATCCTGTCTAGGTTTTTCGGTTTTTGATATTTTATCCGAACTTTTTTTCAGAAACCTATCGGAGTGATCATTAATTGTAAATAAAAGTTATTTAAATTTGTTTATATACTATATAATGATGTGTAAATTCTAACCAGATGCACCCAGTAATGTTAATCTCTTGAAGGTCGGGCATGGTGGTACATTGGACAAAGACGCCCATGGAGTGCTTGCTGTTGGAGTTGGAAATGGCTGCAAACATCTGACCAAATTATTGCACGGACCTAAAGCAAGTTTTTCAAATTTTTCTTTAAATGTTCCAGCCAAATGATAAGATGCTTTGGTCATGTTGAATAAAAAAAGGAATTCCAAATTTTGGTGATAAAATGTGATATCAAACTTTAGAGTTAGAAAAAATACCTACTTAGATATAAAAAAGTTATAAAAAAAACTTTAATTAACTAAGTTTATACATTGACTGGTAGTTGGTGTGGAAATGAACTGGTTTATGATGAAAGTGGTGATACTGTCGAGTTTAAAATGGAAATATAAATTATGATGCTAATCACTAATATTTATTATGATGCACTAATTTAACTTCCAAACATCTTTTAACTTTGCAATTTTCAGAAATATCTCTGCACCACAGTCTTAGGAATAGAAACTGATACATGCTACATAACTGGCAACAAAATAAATGAGAAGCCATTTGGTGAGAGCGATTTTTAATAAATAATTAGTCAACAATGTACAGATAATTTTTTGTTTTCTTTCCTTACAAAATTATTTCATTCTTTGTATGTGTTCCTCTTTTTTTTTTATTCAATCCAAATACAATAACATTTAAAAATTTTTAATATGTAATATTTATTGGATTTCAACTGGATTTTTATTCTACTATTATTAATTCTGTTACTAAGATAACAGTTTTCAGAGAAGAAATGTTAGCTGTTAATGATGTGGTGATCTATTTTAAAATGATTTTTTTTGTCATTTAGATCATGTCACAAAAGAAATGTTGGAACATGCACTGCTCAAATTTGTTGGAACCACCCTACAAGTACCTCCAATGTATTCTCATATTCTAGTAAATTATTATTTTTAAAGTTTTTCTCTGGTTTAATATAAAAAAATCACATTTATTTGATTACTTCATGAATGAAAGTTATGAGAAAAACATTTATAGGAAATTTCTTCCAATTTTCTGCTTCAAACTTAAGAATTTAGAATTTAAATGAAATGTTTGAAGAATTAACTAAAACTAAAAACATTATTTTTAATCAATCGTTTTTAAATGAAAAAATTAATGAGAATAATTGTTCTTTAAAACGTTCCAACAGCTATTCAGCATTGAAGTTTCAAGGTCGCAGGTTATCTGACATGGCATATGCTGGCGAAACAATTCCAGTTGAAAAATTGCTTGCGAGAAAGGTTGATGTGTTTGACATTCGATGCATTCATTTTCAGTTGCCCACTTTCACATTAGGTTGGTTAGGTGGTCGAGGTCTAACCTGACTTTCTTCACTTTCATTTAAGGAAGGAGGATTGTGAATATTCATATACTTGAATTTTTCATTTTTATCACGTTCAGACATTTCTTGTGGTCCAGGCTTCTATGTCAGAAGTTTGGTGAAAGATTTAGCTCATGGTCAGTCATTTGTTTAAGAATTTCAATTTATTTAATTTATTTAACAGTCATTCATGATTTCAATGATTTCAAAAACTGTTTTTTTATTTTTTGCATTGAAACAAATGATGTGTTAATGTACAGTGCGATACTAATATGTAAGCTATAATGTTATTAGTATAGTTTCTCTTTCAACAGACTTGCTTCACTCAAACAATCAAACTTATTAAATTGAGAAATTGCGTTTTATTTTCAAGATTATTCAAATTGTGAAATTGAGCGTTCGGAAGTTATATAAATGTTTGGTGATACAATTAAAGCATGAACGTTTTTAAACGATGCTTCCACAAATGGAACTATTCATTGATACAATTTTTTTTAAATTCCTAGAAATGAATACATGTGGATACGTCGGCGGGTTAGAAAGGACTAGGCATGGTATTTTTGTTAAAGAACATGCACTAACTGAATCACAATGGAATTATGCATCAGTAATAAAATCCATCAATTTCTTTAGGTTTCATTGGAAATAAATTTCCAACATTTACGTTAAATAATTTTTTAATCTTATTTTAAATGTAATTTTTTATTTATATTTTTTACTTCACTTTGAAATATTTTAATTTTACGCAAAGCATATTACATTTTTTCCAACATGGGTGTAAAATTAAGATACGTTTTGTACGTTGGAATAAATATTAAATTTTTAAGAAAATATTTATTGTTATTCCGAAGAAATCCGTTCAAATATCAGACTAAAACTGTGGAAGAAGAGAATGATGCAACTTTTTGATGCACATGCGAATATATCATATACTTTGTTATAGGCTGCTTATAAATATGCTCGAACTGGTTTATCTAATAAGTCCTAGGAATGATTTCATTTTATGGTCAGATTTACATGCTGCTTGTATGTTTTATAATTGAGTTCACAATTTAATTTTACTATAAAAATTTAGTTTTTGCTAATTTTGGTACAAAATCGAAGGATTTAGAGTAGCGTAACGCAGCTGTTATGAATGTTAGTTCTGCATTGGCGTGAGGTCGTTTACATGTGATAAGATTGCTCATTGTCGGTTTCAAAAGCGTCCTTGTTGATGATATTTTTTAAAAGCATAGAAACCCAAGAAAACCTGCCTGAGAACGGGCGACAAGTTAACACCTAATCCACGTTGAATATTACACGACTTTTTTCGCGAAAGTCTGTTCATAAAGAAGCAAAGTTTTGACATCAGTTTATAGTTAAGCACTAGTTTGAATCAATGACCCTGTCGTCTGCGTACTTTAACAACCACAGAATGCACTCATTCTACTCTACACGTAGGATGGTATGCTAGTTTTTCTTGCCAGTACTCGTGCGAAACACGAAGCAGTATGAATTAAATGTGATAACATTTTAAAGTCGTTAACTACGATATTTCATCTTGAACCTGATCGACAATAAATAATTACTTCCCAATAACTAACGCAACAACGAAATTAATAACTCCTTAGAACGTTTGCAGATAACAAGCTGGTTATTAATCGGCGCTGTATAAATGTTCATATTATTATTACTTACAAAGTGAAGAAGTGCACCTATCTTCAGGATCATTAGAAGACCGCTTATCGTTTCTGAAATAGTTGACTCTGGCAAATTTAATACTTGAAAAAATGATTAGGTTAACTTTTTATTTTAGTTTAAATAATGAGAATTTAAACAGAATTTTCTAATAATCTATAACAACCTGAGAACCTTATTCAGCGGAATTAATGGGGCATTAATGAAGAACCAACAAGTTAACTGAATGCAACATACTTGATATCCAACAGTGCTTTACTGCTAACACCACAAAAGAATGTTCAATAGTTTTATTTTAGTTTTACTGCGGCTTTTACGGGTGATCAATTGTAAATAAATGAAAAAGAATGTTTTCCTACATTTCTTTCATTGGAAAATAGTTACACGATCTAATTTAAAAAATATACAATAGCATAAATCACATTGTTATTATTTACAAACTGGAGTTAGGGTTTCCCATGAGCAAATTTGTGTGGTTACAGTTATATATATATATATATATATATATATATACATACATACATATATATATATATATATATATATATTTACAATATTCTATAAATTCTACCGAATGTTTGGCGTTAATATGTTTGTAGTTCGTTTTTTCGATTTTTCTCAGTAAAGTTTTTTGGTGAACGTTTAGTTTATTAAAATTCAAAATAAACTTATTTTTCGAATTCATGCTGCAAATAAGGCCATATTTCGATTCCGAATGAATCATCGTCAGTGCTCCTTGTTGTATATATGGGGAAATATTGACTTTGACGGGTTGGAAGTGAGGTTGTCATTTTTTGTTGTATATTTATTTTTGGTTTATTGATGTCGATTAGGACTGCTTCTGCAATTTTAAGATGCGTGTAGTTGCAACTAACCCGGCGCTTAATCAACAACGAAAACAAAGAAGTAA